TTTTTGGTATGGGGGTGTTGTTAAATTTTTAAAGATACTGAAAAAATGAATTGGAACTTTATTTTCAAAACAGTATATTTTTTAAAAAAATAGCCACTTAAATGAAGACGAATACTTCAGTACAGAAAGAAAACAGATCTAATTAATATTACACAGAAAAGTAAGAATCACATTTATTCCTCCCCATGAATCTATAAACTGCATTTGATATATTTTCAACATATGAAGCTGAATCTACACAGATTTTTTTTCTTGTCTCCCAAATTGTTATACTAAATTGCAATGACATAGCTTTCTAAGCTATTGGTATTTTAAAATTTTGATTTCTATTCACATAAAATTATTTTATATTTCATACAATAGAATCATGAGAAACTTGTTAAAAGTTACAATGACTTATCTTCAGACTCCTTTATCTTTTAAATGATTTTGTGGGTGGGGGAGTAAATGTGATTCTTTTTTTCTCAGGTTCTATTTGAAAAATTAGCCCAAATTCAGGAATCTCAATTAACTTTTTTCTTTTACTGTAATGTTGATTTTCTGATTTTTGAAATATCTCAAATTTCCTTACATAAAGTTTTGTAACAAATACTGGCTTTAAAAAAATTGTAATAAGCTCATTACCTATTTTGTTCAGTTTCCCCATTTTTTTGCCCAGTTTCTTCTCACCATGTTTTTTTTCCTTTTACTCAATAATTATGTGAAATTTCACTTCTTACACCAATATTTCAACTTTTTAGCACAGTATTTCATACTCAAAATAATCCCTGGGTAAATACATGATGATTGTGTGGCAAACTCTACGAAAGAAATTGAATAGTTTTATGTCTCTATGATGTCCTGGATTTTTAAATAGCCAGCTACAAATGTCAAAACCTAAATGTTAGGTCTACCAATTGCGTTTGCTGGGATGGAAGCCAGAAGATGTGGGTTCTAGATTTGACTATGTTTCTACTGTAACTCATTGCATTTGTCAGATTAAATCTTTATTGGCCTATTTTAAAAAAGAATGATCTGATGAATCTCTAACCTTATTTTGAAATTATAAAATAATATTACTTTAAGACTAAACTCTCTCTCTCTCAGCCTTTTTGATCACGCCCCCATTAGGAAAGATTCTTGCTTTGGGGCTATAAAATGGCTAGGTTCACATAAAGTTTAGCCTGTGTTTGGAGACAGCAGATCTAGCTAAGGTGCCCAAGTGGGAGGTCCGAAAAGTCAGGAGGAGGCTAGGATCACTGGGTTAAAAAAAAGTGATGGAAGCCACAGAGGGAAACTTTACTTAGTTCACAGTTTTGTCCAGGGTCCTAGGAGGTCCACAGATGATGAATTTGAGGAAATAGAGCAATGGAACCATAGAAATGTTGCAGTGATTTCACTTTTATTTTGTCACAATGAACACCTTTTCTGACACCAGTGCTATGGAGACAGAGGGGAACGATCATTAATATGAATTCTATCTTTATTTAAAATTTTGATAATGTTGTTTGCCACTGATTTTGCATTATTTTTAATTTAAAAAAATAGTGCATTATCTCGATCAATGAGATTTTTGACAGGCTTTAAAATTGGCATCCAAGGAGAGTACCTCACTTGCCTCATCTTAATCGTTTCTGCTAGCCATCCAATAACAATACTGTTTACTAACTTCCTTCACAGCAAGGGAAGAGGGTCTATTTTTGGTTGCACATTGAGCATGCGCCCTCTAGTGGAATTCTTGTTCTCTGAGGATTTAGAGGCCTAACTCTGATGTATTATTGAGTGCTTTCAGAAATGTTCTCTGTGTTTTTATTCTTTTTTTCAATTACATGCAATTCACATGCCTATAAACCATTAAATTGTATATGTAGTGGATTTATTCCTAAAATTTTAAGATAAAAGATGAATGCAGCAGAAAATCTTCCTATAGGCAAAGCAAAACCACACCACTAATTGAGGCAATCAATCTGCCAGAAGCAGGAAGAGAAGCTTGCAATTGCTCTGGGAAATGACATAGGAAAACTCGTTAAAGGAGGAAAAAGGCTGGAAAGTATAACCACAGTCTGGTGAGATGGAAGGATCTGGGTATTTAGGGGATCAGAAAACAATTCCCAGCATACATGGAAGGTAACTAATAATAGGCTTTAGATACGTTTCCTTCCATTCAACCAAAGTCATGTTTTTCCCATAGCCCTGTCATGGAAAATGGAAAGATGTGGGCTGGTGAACTAAATGGGGAAATATGTACTTAATTACACATAATTTTTTCTGTGTTACAGAAAAAAGAAAAACAAAGCCAAGTATTAAAATGGGGACAATTTTATAGGCTATTTGTCCAAGTCAGGGAGACAAGAGTGACAAGATTAAAGATTACCCACACCACGTCCTTAAAATACAGGTCAATTCCTTATTTCTTCCTTTCTTTCTTGGCTATTCTGAATCTTAAAATAAAATTGCTTAAAAGTGGGAAAAAACATGCTAGTGAGAATGTAAAATGTTGCAGCCTCTGTGGAAAACAGTTTTTAGGTTTCTCTAGAAGTTAACCCTAGAATTACTATATGCCAAGGTATAATCCAAAGGAAATGAAAACCAAGACTCAAACTCGTATACTAATGTTTATTGCAATATTACTCATGATAGCCCAAAGTGGAAACAAGCCAAGTGTCTGTCAGCAAATGAAAGAACAGAATGTGATATATACATCAGTGGACTATTATTCAGTCATAAGAATAGACAAAGACAGAAGTAGATAGAAGACACTAGTTGTTGTTTAATGGGTTCAGGGTTTCTATTTAGAGTGTTGAAAAATTTTAGAGGTAGATGTGATGATGTTTACAGGACATTGTGTAATATATATATATATATATATGTA